TTATGGAGGCATAATCACCTCTCATTGAGAACCACTGACGTAAGGCAAAAGAATTGGATACACCATCATAAAGTTCAAACTAAAGTCCATCAATTACCTGGTTCATAACTTTGGCCAGATTACTTAATCCTTCTAAGCCACATTTCTGAAAATGTAGAATGAACTTTATCATAGTGTTGACTACATAGGAGGGAGTTTTATAAAAATTAAATAGAAGACTACTTAGAAGGTGTCATTCTCAGTGCAGTGTGCACAAAAATGTCTGAATGTACCTGATATAATTATCAAGCCTTTCATAAATAAAGGACTAAATGACAATTCTGAACTTATAAGTGCGAAGTTTCTAATTCTTTCTCCAAAATTGTCGTGAATCAAAGAAATGTATTACCCATGTTTAAAATCAGAGGATCACAGTTGTTGAAAGGGCAATAATTTTCTGGAGATTTCTGGGGCTGTGTCTCACTACAAGTCAAGGCTATGGGGAACCAAAGGATATAGTCAAGACAGATTGGTTAGTCTTAGACTGTAGCAAAAACATTAAGTCAGGGATGGTATCAGGTTGTGGGAGGTGAGACCTCTAGAACACAGGAGAGTTCAAGGTAAAGGAATAATAAAGACTGGATGCACCTGATTTTTAACCTGTTCTCTTGGGGACAAAAAAATCTGCAGGGAAAAAAGCCCCTTCTGTTCAAAGCAATATCCCACAGAGAAATGATATGCTCAGGGTTTAAAGTAGCAGTTGAGAGATGTGCCTAAAGAGCAGATGTATGCAGCTGTAAATATCTCCCCTACTGTTGTTCCTCAGAGTGTACCACCGTAGGCTGGAAGGGACATAGTGGTTTCTTCTGGAGTCCTAACTCTGACAAAGGGACCGATGCTTGACGCCTTCCTGCTGTCCTGTCTGGTGACACAGTTTCAGTCTCCATCATCAACCATCTAGGGAGGAACTTGGATTTTCACACAAAGACCTTCCTCTCAGACATCCCATCTAGGTGAGTCCAAGAGACCAGTGGGCACTGCAGGAAAGCTTCAGAGCGAATTGAAACCAAAAATGTTTACTCGAGGTCACTTGAAAGCCAATTCAGCAAAGCCCAGGGACCAGAGATTTCAATGGTTGTCTACTTGTTTGATTAAATAATGAATTAATGTTTTTCTTTATGATGCTAAGAAAAAAGAAGTGTGCATCGAACTCATCAATGCACTAGTCATGATTGAAATTTAAGAGTAGGTAATGAAAGCTCAATTAAGAGGGGATTGTAGGCATGACATTGTTCCAGTAGAAGTGCAATATGTGTCCAGGGTCCTTTCCAATTCCACGGAGTAGAGAAATAGGGTATTAGATGGGGAGAGATATACTGTGATGTGAGGGCATTTCTTTTTTATGTTTAGGATGGGATATATTAGCGTACACTTGCAAAGTGATAAGAAAGAGGCCGAACAATGGATTCCTCCCAAATAATACTTTATAAGAGCTGTTCATGAGGCACATATTTTTCAGTACCTACCCTCATGCTAGATATGGCGATTTTTAAAAATCACTTAATATGTTTTTTGAAAAAAGAAGTACACTAATGAGCTTTGCTTTCAATTATTTCCTTACTTCTAAGTCTGAATATATTTGTGGACTTGTTAGATATTTACTTTGTCTATTCCAAATTGTCTCTGTGAGTTCTATGCTTTTGTTTAGTGATGTCATTTCTGTTTTTGATTGTATTTTTCAAATATAAGAATTGGATTGCTCAATGTGTACTAAATGGTGACCCATGATTTACAGTTAGATAGAAGAAGTAAGTTCTGATGTTCTTTTGCATAGTAGGATGGCTGTAGTTAGCAATAAGGTAATACATATTTCAAAATAACTAAAAGAGAGGTTTTTGAATGTTCTCATAACAAAGAAAGAATAAATGTTCAAACTGAGGGAAATGCTAATCACCCTGATTTGATCATCACAGGATATACACGTATATGGAAAAATCACCTTGTACCGCATAAATATGTATAATTATCACGTAAAAACATACATTATTTAAAAAAGAAAGAACTAACGTGAGATTCCAAAAAAAAAAAAAGAATAGAATTTCAGTTTTCACCACCTTTGCTGTGTACTAACTACTTCTTTTGTGGGTTACTGGGGAATGTATAAAAATTTGTAATTTTGTGTGGTAAAATTTATCCTTCAGTCACATTTTATTTTCCTCATTGCTTTTAAATGTACAAAGTACATCAGCAGTATTTGAGTAAATAAATCACCTTCTTTATGTATTTCCAATGTGTTTTTACATCTCTGTTACTCGTTAATCTGCCTTTCTTCCTTTTGTGATTAAATCTTTCTACTATTTACATTTCCTTCATCCCTCAATTGAAAGGCATTCTTCTTCATCCTTAATACTAAAGATCATCTTTATATTTCATAAACATATTTGATCCATATATCTTTGTATAAGATAAATTGTAAGATTAGATGATTCTAAATCGATTGTAGGATATATTCTCTTATGCATACGTTTTTGCAAATTGAATTATTAATCCATGTTGAAATCAATGATTCTAAATCGATTGTAGGATATATTCTCTTATGCATACGTTTTTGCAAATTGAATTATTAATCCATGTTGAAATCAATGATTCTAAATCGATTGTAGGATATATTCTCTTATGCATACGTTTTTGCAAATTGAATTATTAATCCATGTTGAAATCATTAAGATGTTGCTTTTTTATTTCTTTGCTTTAGTTATTGGTAAACCTTTCATTTTTGTTAATGCCATTAATTTGAAACGACCCAGTGTTAGTCTCCTGCCATTTTTTTTTTTATCTCACAACTTCTCTTTTTCTTAACATTTGCTTCTATATGATGCACATGTATTCAGGTGCCTTTGTGAAAACACAAAGGTGGGCAGAGCTGGTGAAATCCTGGTCAGTTAGATCTTGCATTATAATGATGAATACAAAGCACAATGAAATAAATGTGGGCATAGTGCAATGCCACGAGGGATGAATTATACGAAAAAAATGTTTCTTCAGTGTAAAAGGATAAAATTGTCATGGTCTGTGCAGGATTTTACAGAGTAACATCAGGCAAGCTTTGCATGTTGGATGAAGACCAGAACCAGGAATAGAATGTGCCATGGGATGTGTTAGAAAATATGTACCAAATATCAAAACCTAAGAATACCGAAGAATAGATTTCCCCAAAAGAAAAGGAGGAATGGGCAGCCTCAGATACAATCAGACCATACAAAAACCAATTGTCAGGCAGAATAATAAATGGTCTTCTACAATTTTATATACTAAATGGGCAGATTTGGTTCTGTTTTTATATTTACACTCATGATATATAACTTTATTTCCTTTGTTTATTCTTTTTGTATGATTGTTTTATCTGCAAAGTGTGTGACACCAAAAAGATAGCATTACTTTAATTTTTTAGACAAACATGTTTTTCTGTTTTATTATTTTTTTCTGGGTATGAAAGGGATATAAGATTATTTGGATGTGGACATAACCAAGGAAGCTTTGCCTTTTTCACAGTCTCTCAGGAACTACCTGAGGCTATTAGATATTTTTTTCCCATCAGGTCTATTTAATTCCCCTCCCTGTGTTGATGAAACAGATTTTTTATATATATTTCTTAAAACAGAGGGCAGAATGGAAAGATAATTTGAAAATGAACACATGCCTGGTATCAACTCCTCTGTAAAAGGTTACTGGGGGTCAGAAGAATATGGTGTTAATATGTCCCTAGAAGTCAAAGTTTATTTTATGTGTATTCATGCTCTGTGTATGTGTATGCTGAGTGTGTGTGTGTGCGTGTGTCATAATACAGAGGCCAGAACTCAAGGCAACTTATGGAAATAAAGAGCAAATGCATTTAAATTCAAGAGCACATTCTAAGCCAATTTATTACTTTGTAAATACAACAACACTTGGAGAGGACTTTCTGAGTCTTTCAATTTCAGCAGCAATGAGGCAACCTCGTTCTTCAACATTCTCTGACCCCATCTCCCATCACTCAGCTCTTCCTCTTTCCCCAGCCACACAGGCTTCCTTGTGGGCCTCAGACATCTGAAAAAAGCATCTTCCTACAGATGTTTCCACTGGACATTCCTCCTGCTGGGTACACTCATTCCCAAATATCCTTTTGGCTCCTGTCTAGTCTTCACTGTGGTATTTTTTCAGATGTCACCTTGTCTGCTCATCTTCCCTGAATGCACAGTCAAAAGTCACCCTTCCACCCACTCTCTCTTTTTACCTTCTTTCTTTTTCTTCGTAGCACTTATGACCATCTGAATAATATACAATATTTCTTATTTGCTTGCATTCTTTCTACATATTTTACTGTTGAAATTGTTATTGTTCTATACTGTCCAGTCATAGTTTACACAGTGCCTGGAACATGGAAAATATCCAATGAGCATTTCTAAATGATTGAAAGAATTAGTTACTAAAATTTTTAAATACATGGCCTCTTGGGAAAAAGGTAAACATGAGACTGGAATTCCTAATCAGACATGGGATGAGGAATCATTTACAGGGGACTTTCTTTTTCTCGATAGCACTTATGACCATCTGAATAATATACAATATTTCTTATTTGCTTGCATTCTTTCTACATATTTTACTGTTGAAATTTTTATTGTTCTATACTGTCCAGTCATAGTTTACACAGTGCCTGGAACATGGAAAATATCCAATGAGTATTTCTCAAATGATTGAAAGAAATAGTTACTAAAAGTTTTAAATACATGACCTCTTGGGAAAAGGTAAACATGTGACTGGAATTCCTAATCAGACATGGGATGAGGAATCATTTACACGGGACCAGGCTAATAAGAAAAAATACAGGAATTAGTGTCCTATATGTAGAATATAAATGATAGCATTTCTGATAGGGTCATAATGCATGTTTGTTTCAAGTTCTTTTTCTCTCACTCCTTCTTCTTCTTTTTTTTTCTTTCAATTCTTTTTTTCTTTTTTCTTTTGGCAGTCACATCCACCACATGAAACCAGAGAATTATACACAAACTTCAGTATTTCTTCTTCTGGGATTTTTTGAGGAACCAGAATTGCAACCCATCTTCTTCGGGCTGTTCCTGTCCATGTACCTGGTCACCTTGTTTGGAAACCTGCTCATCATCCTGACCATCATCTCAGACTCCCACCTCCACACACCCATGTACTTCTTCCTCTCCATCCTGTCCTTTGTAGACATCTGTTTCACCTCCACGACCATCCCAAATATGCTGGTAAATATGCAGAAACAGAGCAAAGTAATAACCTACACAATCTGCATCACTCAGATGTTCTTTATCATGCACTTTGTAGTGTTGGATGGCTTGCTCCTGACTGCGATGGCCTATGACAGGTTTGTGGCCATCTGTCACCCCCTGCACTACAAAGTCATCATGAGCCCCTGGCTCTGTGTGTTGCTGGTTCTGGTGTCCTGGATGACGAGTGTCCTGCAATCCCTGTTACATACTTTAATGGTGCTGAGGCTGTCCTTCTGTACACACTTGGAAATCTCCCACTTTTTCTGTGAACTCAATGAGGTGGTCCATCTTGCCTGTTCTGATACCTTTCTTAATGACCTGGTGAAGTATTTTACAGCAGCACTGCTGGGTGGGGGATCCCTTGCGGGTATCCTTTACTCCTACTACAAGATAATTTCCTCCATATGTGGAATTTCAACAGCTCAGGGGAAGTATAAAGCATTTTCCACCTGTGCATCTCACCTCTCAGTTGTCTCCTTATTTTATGGTACAGGCCTAGGAGTGTACCTTAGTTCTGCTACTGCACACAATTCACACTCAAGTGCAACAGCCTCAGTGATGTACACTGTGGTCACACCCATGCTGAACCCCTTCATCTACAGTCTGAGGAATAAAGACATAAAAAGGACACTGAAGGATTCTTTGGGAAAGAAACTAAGAAAGAGCCAATTGTCCTGTTGCTAAAAATGTGCACCTGGTTGTAGAAATTAAAGCCTCAAAGCCCAAAATTACTCTTATTTAATTAGATCATGGATATATGACTTGCTCCTTTTCTTATATCCAGGAATTTCAATTTCTCTGATTTTGATTGCTTTGTAAAATGTACACAATTTTCCTTTATTAAGCTTTCTGCTCTGTCAAATACACAACATACTTTCTCATCATCATTTTTCTGCTCTCACAACTTAATTCCCAACATTGGATCAGAAACAATTTGGAAATTCTTTTGTGCCTATACGGTAATGAATTATACTAGTTTTACGGAATAAACTATACTTATCAACTAAGGCCATTTAGAAAGTTCTATTGTAGAAGAATTTCTGACACCACATCTTCTCACCTTTGTGTCTATCATTCATTTCAATATCACTCCCTTGAATTCTCTTTCTGAAAATGAAGACATTCATTTCAATATCACTAATATCACTCCCTTGAATTCTCTTTCTGAAAATGAAGACTTTAACATACTAGTGTGTTGAATAGATGGTCATGGGATTTTATGGTCCCATTTCAATCCTGTTCCCTTATTGCTCAGTGTCCACTGTACTTATTCTATTTTCTGGCAAATAGTATTTCAGGCACACTGTCACTTCCATGACATCCTATGGGTCAAGGTACCTAAAATTTCTAAGTTCAGCCCAGATTGAAAGGTGGAAAAACAGACTCTACTTTTCATCATGAGGAGCTTCACAGTCATATTTCGAAAGACATGATGCTGTACCTTCAATAGTAAGAATAGAAGTTGTGGCAATGTTATTGAAATAGTTTTGTTTGGAATTATGTGCAGTCCCTGTCCACAACTGCAAGTTAATGTGCTTGGGACTCAAATGGTCTTTAAACATGTACCAGCTCATGCCTTTGATAGACCAAACAAACAAACAAAAGCCCACCTCAAACTTTTAGAAAATGCTGACAGAATAGGACCAGGCACAATGTAGGTCAGACCTATGAAGAAAACAGCAAAAAGCCCCAGGGAGATGGATACATGCTTTGGTTTCCAAGGATACAATACTAGCAGAAGATAAGTTTCCTTTGAATTTGGCTGCCTCACTCATGGAAACCAAACTGCTAAGAGAACAATTGATTTAATGGGCATTCATGAGAATTCAACCTCTGAGGCCCCAGAAACAGTAAATAACTCCTCTTACCCCACTTCCCTGCATCTCAACTGTCACTGGAAGGAGGGAGATCAACTGATACCTTGCAGAAGATTTATGCCTGATGTTGTCTCCATCACCTAGAGAAGAAAGGACCCAGGGAGCTCGAGGTTCAGCAACACCATTGGAGCACCTGGTGTGAGAAACAGGTGTTGAGGCAGGCAGAGCTCAAACAGAATGAACTTTGGTGCTAAAGTGATGATAATGTGTTGATGAAAGTCCATTCACTCGAAGTACTCTGTGCAATCGATTCCTGTGTCCCTCTCAACTTCTCTTCTCTTCAGCTTCCTCTCACCTTGCTTTTTCTCTCTTCTGGGACCCAATTCTAAGGATCTCTTACCTTCCTAATAGAAACACACATTCTCTTAGCCTGCAGCATCACTCAAAAGTTTATACCCAATCACCTTAGTCTTTTTCTGTAGTCATTACAACTGATTCTGTTCTTCTCTATCAAAGATGCTCCTGTAGTCTTTTTTCTAAAATATCTTACTCATGCATTCATTCATTCACTCAAAAAACATTTCTGGAGGTCCATGTAGCAAAAAACGTGCAATCCCATTTCATATATCTTCTGACATTAGCTTACTTCACATTTTTTTGGCTTCATTTTCACACTTGTAAAATAAGGATAATAATTTTATCCACCCCACAGAACTAATGTTAGGATTTCATTAAAGGAGATCATGTGTTAACCATGCTAATGGTTTATCAATTTTATTTATCTTTTCAAAAAACCAACTTTTTGATTCGTTGATCTTTTGTACTGTTTTTTGGGTTTCAACTTCGTTAAGTTCTGCTCTGATCTTGATGATTTCTTTCCGTGTGCTACCCTTAGGTTTAGATTGTTCTTGTCTTTCTAGTTCTTTAAGGTGCAGAGTTAGGTTGTTCACTTGCCATCTTTGCATTCTTCTGAGGTAAGCATTTAATGCAATAAATTTCCCCTTAATACAGCTTTTGCAGTGTCCCACAAGTTTTGGTATGATGCAAGTTTGAAAATCTGGAGGAAATGGATAAATATCTGGACACACACAAGCTACCAAAACTAAGCCATGAAGATGTAGAAAATGTGAACAGACCAATAACAATTAAGGAGATTGAAGCTGTTATCAGAAAGCACCCAACAAAGAAAAGCCCAGGACGAGACGGATTCACAGCAGAATTTTACCAAACATTCAAAGAGGAATTGACATCGATTCCTTACAAACTATTCCAAAAGATGGAAAGAGATGCAAATCTCCCAAACTCATTCTATGAAGGAAACATCTTCTTGATACCAAAACCAGGTAAAGATATAACCAAGAAAGAAAACTACAGGCCAATATCCTTCATGAATATAGATGCAAAAATCCTCAATAAAATATTAGCTAACAGAATACAACAACACATATGTAAAACTATTCACCACGATCAAGTGGTATTCCTCCCTGGGATGCAAGGTTGGTTCAACATACGCAAATCAATAAATGTGACACACCATATTAATAAAATCAAAGACAAGGACCATATGATCATCTCTATTGATGCTGAAAAAGCATTTGATAAAATTCAACACTCATAGCAATACTCTCAGCCTCTATAAGTTAGG